CACACCCCCTACTGTGAACCAAGCACACACAAGCTGGGCATGTGCTCTGACCAGAAATCGAACTGTGATCTCCTGGCTCATAGGAGATCACTCAACCACTGAGCCATGCTGGCTGGACAATAAAATTATACTTAAAAAAAAAAAAATCCAACCAGTGAATGCATAAATAAGTGGAACAACAAATTGATGTTTCTCTCTCTAAAAAATATATATTTAGTGGGGTTTTTTGTTTGTTTTTTGTTTGTTTGTTTGTTTTTAAGTGAGCCCCACTAGGGGAAAGGTTAATGGAGAAAGGGTTACTACTTGCCTGGCCAGATTATGTAACTGAGCTACAGCATTCCTCTCCGTCTCATTTCTCTTCTCTGTCCTCTGGCCACATAGATATGAGGGGGGGTAGAGAGGACCTGCCGCACTGGCTTCTTCCTCAGTCAGAAATGTGTAGGTAACCTGCTTGATTTGAGCCCTCGCTGGTGACCTTGAACTCTGCTCTAGGAGTTATCTCCTTTCTTGCTAGTTGATGGAATTGCTGATTCTCCTACTACTACTAAGCTGCAGCAGGTTCTTGGAAAGGACTGGCCAGGTGCCGGAGTTATCTTTAGCTCGCCCACGCCGAAAATAAGATGGGAAAATCCAGCAGATGGAAGGGGTTCAGCAAAAGCTGGCCACGTCCTTCCTGACCTCTGTTCTCAGAACCTTTGGGGCTCTTGCAGGTGGAGCCACGTCAGCGCGAAGGAGTCCCGCTGGACACTCCTGACCCAGACTCTGTTTCATTCATGAGGAATTTGAGGCTTGAGACGGAACATAACTTTCCCAAGGACACAGCGCTGAGGAGTGGTGAAGCGGGGACACACCCCAGGGCTTCGCCCGGCTGAGATGAAAGCCCTCCCCCTGGGGGTAGTGCACCCTACCTGCCTCTCAAAGCTCAAGCAACAGTAACAACGAATCCAGGAAAATAATCGTCTCTTCCTCACCAAACCAAGGGTGCCCTGCCCACCCGACACCTGACCCTCCAATGTCCTTTGGTCTCCACTCCCCATCTTCTCCGTGTCAGGCTGCATCCGGGCCTCCCAGGCGGCTCTCCCTCGAACCACGTGAGACCCTGCAGTGACATCGGCAGACCCCACTCTCACGCTTCCTGCTCAGGGTGGGAGGGGACCAGGAGGCCGGGAAAGGATAAGACTTTTGCCAGGAAACCTACCCTGCCTGGGGCCAGTCCAACAGAAGCAGGCCTTAGCGGGCACACCACGCCGGGCTGAGGAAGCACCACATAGGTCCTTTCCGAATGTTTAGAAGAAGGCCTCGCCAAAACCGGTTTGGCTCAGTGGATAGAGCATCGGGCTGTGGACTGAAGGGTCCCGGGTTCGATTCCGGTCAAGAGCATGTACCTTGGTTGGGGGCACATCCCCAGTGTGGGATGTGCAAGAGGCAGCTGATCGCTGACTCTCTCTCATCGATGTTTCTAACTCTATCTTCCTCTCTGTGAAAAATCAATAAAAATATATTTTAGCCAAAACCGGTCTGGCTCAGTGGTAGAGCGTCGGTCTGCGGACTGAAAGGTCCCGGGTTCGATTCCGGTCAAAGGGCATGTATGTTGGCTGCAGGCACATCACCAGTGGGGAATGTGCAGGAGGCGGCTGGTCAATGTTTCTCTCTCATCGACGTTTCTGGCTATCTTTCTCCCTTCCTCTCTGTAAAAAATCAATAAAATATATGTTTTAAATATATATATATATATATTTTTTGAAGAAGAAGAAGAAGAAGAAGAAGAAGAAGAAGAAGAAGAAGACGACGACGACGGCCTCGGCCTCTACCCTTTCTCTTGCTCCCCCAGAGGAATAGCAGCCCCGACTGTTTACTGCGCCTTAGCAACCCCGGCCTGCCTGACAGAGCCTGTGGAAAGTGGGGGAGAGGTCAATGGAAACAGACGAGCTCATGCCTGGAACCGCTCCGGAATCCCGGGAAGTTGCTGAGTCTCATGCCTCTGGCTTCGCTCTGCAAGGTCACCTGCCAGCAGAGCCGACAAGCCAGACAGGAAAGAGTTCAAGAATGAACTGATCTTGCCCAGGCTGGGGTGGCTCAGTGGATGGAGCATCAGCCTGTGGACTGAAGGGTCCCAGGGTCAATTCCGGTCAAGGGCATGTGCCTTGGTTGTGGGCACATCCCCATTGGGGAGTGTGCGGGAGGCAGCGGATTGACTCTCTATCCCTCTCCCCTCCTCTCTGTAAAAAAAAAAATCAATAAAATATATTAAAAAAAAAAAAAAAAGAATAGTCTGATCTTTCTGGTAGTTTGTCTTTGAGGTAAGACAACTGATCCCAAGTGGTCACTCTAACCTCTGTCCTCCTGTCTCCTGTTTCAGGAGCAGAGGATATGTGTGTGTGTGTGTGTGTGTGTGTGTGTGTGTGTGTGGTGTGCGTACAGGGGACGGGGGGATAGGAAGGGCTGGGATGCATTCCTCCTCTACTTGACTTGTGTCTAGAATCTTCTTTGTTCCCATTCTTTAAGTTCCCAGGCTGGCATTGGAGAGATATAGGGTACTGGCTATGACACCAACAAAAACCCAGATCTGGCCTGGTTTGGGAAGGTGAGGGGGGTAGGGGGAAGGGTGCAGAGGGGGTAGGGGAAGGGTGCAGAGGGGGGTGGGGGAAAGGTGCAGAGGGGGTAGGGGAAGGTTGCAGAGGGGGTGGGGGAAGGGTGCAGAGGGGGGAGGGGGAAGAGTGCAGAGGGGGGAGGGGGAAGGGTGCAGGAGGTTTTTCAGGGCCTTGGTTGTGTTTATTTCAGGTTTCTCCCTAGCCATTTCCCAGGCTATAGTGTGACTGGAAAACCCCGGGGGCGGGTCCTCTCCCTACCCCACTCCACTTACAGCACCTCACTGAGCTAGAAAAAGAAACACCAATCATCGCAGATTGCTCAATAACTGGAATGTTCTGTTTCTCTTCCAGTTTCCTTCTCTGTTCTCGGCAGCTTCCACTGCTCCTGCACGCAGACCAGGCTTTATGGGGCTTCCCTCAACGGGTCAGGAAGATCTACTGTAAGGCTGCCCCTGCCACTCTGTCACTTGAGCTGCAGGGAATTCAGTGTGCCAGCCCGAATATGGTTGGGAATTTCTTTTTTCTTTTTTCTTTTAGTTTTTGATTGATGAGAGAGAGAGAGAGAGAGAGAGAGAGAGAGAGAGAGAGAGAGAGAGAGAGAGAGAGAGAGAAGCATGGATTTGTTGTTCCACTTATTTGTGCATTCTAATATGTGCCCTGACTGGGGATTGAACCCACAACCTTGGCAGAGCAGGGGGGATTTCTTTTAGCACACAGCGGATCTTACAACTGCACTCTCTGGCCAGGCGGGGAATTTCCCGAAGGTTCTCCTATCTGTGTGGCTTTGAGATGTGCAGTCAGGATGCTCTGTGCCTGCCTCCGGACTCAGTCCCTGTTCTGCACACGCAGCTAGCGTGTGACCGCTGCGTGTCAAGGTGGCTGGGACCAATCAGCTCACGGAGGGCTTCCTCGGAGCCAATCCGAGCCGAGGGAAGTGACCTCACCCAGGGGAGAGCTGTGTGGGCGAGGAGGCACCTCAGGGCTGTGTGTCCCCGAGTCACTCCGCTCCGCTCCGCCCCACCCTCCTGGGTTCCTGTAAAGCAACACCACCTGCCGTTCCTCCCAAAGAAGGAAGTGAGCAGGGCTAATGCATTCCACCTGGGAGGCACAAAACACAACAAAGCAACTGCCCCTTGGCCTCACGGTGGCTTCTAGAGGGGAGAGCAGAGTGCTCAGGGGCTTCACCCGCTCAGACAAACCGATCCAAGCCGGTGCGGGGCCTGGCAGCCGAGCAGGGGAGGGCGCTGAGGAAGTCCCAGCACCTCCCCCCGCTTCCCTCCCCACACCTGGCTTTCTGGACTCTCCCCCCCAAAATAGCTGCAGTCGTTTTCTGTAAACAAGGACAAGCTCAAGGCCAAGTGTGGGAAAGAGCGGGCCTGCATCGCTGCGGACACACGAGGACAGGCGCAGTCCTGCCCCTGGCCAGAGGCTCGGCCGTCCGCTGACCTTCGGGGCCAGCGCTGTTCTTCTCCACCGCTCTGCACGGGCCCTCAGAGGAGCTTCTTGAATGTTCCTGGCACAGCTAGATGGGGAGCACGTGTCCCCCCATGGGGTGGGCGGGAAGGGGAAAGAACAGGAAGGCTGTAGCCCCCAGGTGTCCCACTGGACTCGGACAGGTGTGGAGAGAATGGCTCTGAGAGGCATCCCCTCCATTCTGCCAGCCCTCTCCCACCACGCCCCACCCTGAACAGAAAGACAGATTTTTCTTAAAAATGTTTTTATTTAAAAATATAAGACTGGCTTTAGGCCTCCTAACTGCTCCCACCCCCAATTATCTCCACAAAGAACTCAAAATGTGGGAAGGACGTGTGCGCAGCTGTCTCCGTCTCACAGTTCCAGGCCTTCTTTCCACCTCCTTCCTCCCTGTCACACACGGTCACATCGGTCCTCTGCCCTGTCGCCAAGATCTCAAGTGACCAGAGCTGAAGCCGGTTTGGCTCAGTGGATGGAGCGTCGGCCTGCACACTGAAGGGTCCCAGGTTCGATTCCGGTCAAGGGCATGTACCTTGGTTGCGGGCACATTCCCAGTGGGAGGTGTGCAAGAGGCAGCTGATTGATGTTTCTCTCTCATTGATGTTTCTAACTCTCTATCTCTCTCCTTCCTCTCTGTAAAAAAATCAATATTAAAAAAAAAAAGAGGTTATAGAAAACTCTTAAGAAGAAGAAGAAGAGAAGGAGGAGGAGGAAGAGGAGGAAGAGGAGGAGGAGACACCAGGGTAGAGGGAGGGGAGGGGCAGAAAAGAAAGATCTCTGTCGCCATTCTCCATTTCCATCTCCATACACCAAACAGGTTATCTGGAAACTGAGCAAAAGACTTCCTTGTCCACAAAACCACGTAATAGGAACAGTGACTCTCTGTGCCCTAAATCAGAAAGATACGAAGGTCCCAGGTGCTGTTGAGGGCCTTATTCAGTAGATAGCCTCATCCATATTGTCATCACTGTCAACCCCAAAGTCCTCTCCGTTGTCGAAATACGACATGATGTAATCAGTTTCCTGTAACACAAAGTAAAGAAAAGTCAGGCATGCTTCTGGCGTTCTCCTTCCTCCCTGTGTACCAGGCCCCTTCCCTCCTACCCACACCATCCAGGCCTGGAAACCCCATCCAGCGGTGGCTGGCTCTGTCTCCTTTGGCCCTCCCGCCCTCTGAAGAGAACATCCCTGGTGAACAGAGTTGAGATCCCCAGAGCTGATGAGAGCAAGAGAACAAGAGGGCATGAGAGAGGAACTGCGGGTGGAGAGAGGTCTCCTCACCTCTTCGTGTTCTTCTTCATCGTACTCCTCCTCCTCTTCCTCTTCTTTCTCTTCCTCTTCTTTCTCCTCATCTTCCTCTGAAGTTACTTCTTCCTCCTTCTTTTCCAGAGTCTTTTTTTTAAAAAGATTTTGTATTGATTTTTAGAGAGAGAGAGTAAGGGAGAGGGAGAGGGAAACATCATTTATGAGCTGCCTCCTACATGCCCCCCACCAGGGATCGAGTCCACTACCAGGGCATGTGTTCTGACCGGGAATAGAACTAGCAACTTTTCAGTGCACAGATCAATGCCCAACCAACTGAGCCACACCGGCTAAGGCCTTCTCCAGGGTCATATGTGAAGATGAATAGGAAGACTAACTCAGATGCAGCGCACAGAAGGGAAAAGTGAGGCACACATGGCCGAAGAGGAGGGCATGGACCTGGGCTCAGGTGGTCTCTGTGCACATTTCCTCTTACCTCTAGTTTCTGTATTGTTTCCTCTTTATCTTCTGTGGCCTTGGGGGGTCTTTTGGGAAGCAGAATGGTGGTCCCTGGTGAGAAGATAAAAAAAACTGAACCATCAGCCCTGACGGATGTGGCTCAGTGGACGGAGCATCAGCCTGTGAATTGAAGGGTCCCAGGTTCAATTCTGGTCAAGGGCATGTACCTTGGTTGTGGGCACATCCCCAGAGGAGGGGTATGCAGGAGGCAGCTGATCAATGTTTCTCTTTCATAGATGTTTCTGACTATCCCTCTCCCTTCCTCTCTGAAAAAAAAAATAAATTAAAAAAAATAAATTAAAAAAAAATATATATATATATATATTTTTTTTTTTTATTTTTTTTTTAAATTGAGCCATCAGCCTAGTGGATGTGGCTCAGTGGTTGAATGACAACCGATAAACCAGGAGGTCACAGTTCAATTCTTGGTCAGGGCACATGCCCAGGGTGTGGGCTCAATCCCTGGTAGGAGGTATGCAGGAGGCAGATGAGCGATGAATCTCTCTCATCATTTATGTTTCTATTGCTCTCTTCCTCTATGAAATCAATAATATATATTGATTTTTTTTTAAGTGAACCATCAGAGAGCAAACTTCTACATTTCTACCACCTTCCTGCAAAGACCATGTCACTCTGCTGCCCTCATGTGGCCATCAAGGTGTCCAGCAACAACACTGGGCGCTTGGAGTAGGATGAGGAGGGCAGGAGGAAAGCTCCTGTCCCTCTCTTTCCAGACACACTCACGCTCCTTCTGTAGCTTCCGCACTCGGATCCTCAGCTCCCGGGGTAGACGTCGCCAGTCTGGGATCAGTGGGAAAGTAAAGGTCAGCACGATCCTGCCTGGGGTGGAGGGGGACTTCTCTGAATGATGACTGGCTTCAGAGATAAGGGTGGGGATGAAGGTGAAGAAGGAAGGGGTTGGGTCACAGTTGCTTGGAACAAAACTGTGGCTTGGATGCCTCCAGGGGAGTGAGGGCTAGTCAACCTGAGGGTCTTTACTAGTATATGTAAGGGTCCGGTTTGTGGATACTGAGTGGGCTGGCAGGGGTGGGGGGGTGGGAGGGAGAAGAAGAGGGTGAATGGGGTGGGCGCCGTTGTTGAGACATTTGAAAGGACAGTCAGTGAAAGGACCCACCACCTACCAGGGTTCCAGTCGATGGCACTGTCGATCGGCCCTGACATCTGATATTTGTCTGAGTAACGCTCCACATCTGAGGGGTCAGAGGCCAAGGGTCAAAGTTTTATCCTTTCTGAGGCCTAGACCAGGGTTGTTCCCGAGGGCCCAGCCCTCTCAATACTTAGGAATTGTCTGTTCCCTCAGCCCACACCCAGACCCAGGGGTCAGCTTCAGGGAGGACCTTCCACCGTCTTGTAACATGTCCCTTTGCCACCTGAAATTATGATATTATTTTTTTTTATCTCCCTTGACCCAAAGGCATGGGCCTACCAAGAGGCAGTGATAGAGTAAGGGTTCCCGTACTCCCTCTGCTCCTTGTTCATGGGCTAACTTCCACGCGTCTTTCCTCTCCCTGAGCTTCCACTTCTAGGGAATTCTGCCCTTCCACCGCAGCTCATAAACATCCACTGCCCCAGGCCTCCCACGCGCACCCCCTCCTCCAGGCCCTCTTGGTCTCCCCGACTTCTCCGCAGCCCACCGACCAGAAAGGTAACCCTCTCGTTAGCAGGGTACCTCAGAGGCCCAACGCCAGCCCCCCTTCTGATTGGTCGGTGCCTGTGATATCCAGATTGTTAAACATTATAAATCATCCCCCCATTTATATGTTCCAAGACTATTGCAAAACACAAAGCAAATCATGGACACTGTCGTGTGTTTCGAATCCAGGGGTGATTATTATGATCAGACGGTGATCATCCTGTGCCGCTTCTGGCATCTCTGGCCCCCAGTGGCACTGCCCCCGGGAGGCACTCAGGAGGTGACACTAGTATCCGACTGACCTCTCTTGGGGACGGCCGGCCGGATGAAGTAGGGGAGCTGCCTCATGGCCCCTCGCAGCTCCTGCTTCAGCGCCAGGACGTACTCCCCTTCCTCCCCTGAGGGCAGAGGCACAGGGCGGAACTCCAGGGGCTAGGGAGACAGGGCAGGCGTCAGTCTGGGGAGAAAATGAATGAAGCACAAATGCAGGGGGGTGTCTCCCTCCAGCTCAATCCCATGCTCCTGCCGAGCGAAGGGCCAGGAGAGCAAAGGGGAGCAACACGCCTTTTGAAAGCTGGGGAGCCAGGCCTGAGGAGTCCGGGTAGACACCTCCTTGCCTGGAGAACATCCATGTGAGCTGGGTACACAGAGGCAGGGAGGAGCAAGAGAAGGATGGTTTCAGGATGGCCCAGGAGGCATCCAGGGCCAGACACAGCCAGCCAGGGCACGTGGGAGGCCTAGGGATGGAGGGAGGGAGGGCAGACACTCACGGGGAAGAGTGGAGAAGGCTGCAGTGTGGGTGGGGGCAGAGCATCCCCCTTCCCAATGCCCACGGCCTCCATGTTGAAGGTCAGCTGGCCGCGGCCCCGACCCCGGCCCCGGCCCGCCATGGTGGAAGAGGCCTGCGGAGTCAGAGCTCTGATGAGAAACACCTGGTGAAGATAAACACAAAGGGGAGAAGGGCAGCAGAATGGGTGGGAAGCCAGGGAGGTATAAGACACGCAATCTTTTTTTTCCTGGGACCCGAAACGCCAGTGTGAGTCACTAGGTTTGGATTGAGAAGGCACAGGCCAGGCAGAGAACTTCGGGAAATATAAACGTGGGTGAGACGTGATCTCAACAGGAAGATCACTGCAACGCAGTGTAACGGTAGCACAAAGGGGAAAGTGGTTAGATCCTTGGATAAAACGGCCCTGCATCCCTAAGATAATTTGATGTTTATCACCACCTGCATATCTACATATGACCTTTTAATTCTCTCTCTCCCTGGCTTCCCCGATTCAATCCAATTCAATGCATTTCAACAAAAACGCTTATTCAGAATGTACCACGAAGAAGCAGTATGACAGGCATTGTGGGGGCACAGGGATCACTCATCAGTCTCCGTCAGTGGCGGGCGAGTGTGGGGGTGGGGGAATGGGCAGAGAGGGGAACTGTTACAATCAAATTGATCTCTTAAAAACACCACTTGGCAGTTGTAACCGATTTGGCTCAGTGGATAGAGCGTCAGCCTGCAGACTCAAGGGTCCCAGGTGTGATTCCGGTCAAGGGCATGTTACCTTAGTTGTAGGCACATCGCCAGTAGGGGGTGTGCAGGAGGCAGCTGATCAATGTTTCTCATTGATGTTTCTGTCTATCCCTCTCCCTTCCTTTCTGTAAAAAAAATCAACAAAATATATTAAAAACAAAAAACCACTTGGAAGCACAGAACTTAGAATTGGAAGGACCCACAGAGTTATCTAGTCCAAACCCCTTCGGAGGGCAGTACCCTACTCGGTAAGCTGTCAGTTGTTCTGTGTCCGGGGGTGTTTTCCTAGAGAGAAGGCGTCCATTCTCCCCCATCGAGACCCGTTCCACTGGCATTGACTCTGATGAATTGAAAGCTCCTCTTGCTACTGAGCAGAGCTCTGCCTCTTGTCATTCATTGCGGGGCCAGTCCGATGCAGCTAGCATTGGGGGTAAAGTCCCCCAAAGAAAATGCAGCTTGCCCGGCCCGGCGTGGTGAGTGGCTGAGCTCGGACATATGCCCGGTCATGGGCTGCATCCCCATTGTGGGGTGCACAGGAGGCAGCGGTGAATGATTCTCTCTCCTCACGGATGTTTCTATCTCGCTCTCCCTCTCCCTTCCTCTCTGGAATCAATAAAAATATATTTAAAAAGAAAATAAAACTTGGGGGGAAAAAGATACCCTAGTAGCAAGGAACATACCTTAGCATCTTGGTTTCTAATACTATTTTCTAATAAAAGGGACTTTGAAGAAATGGCTAAGTCTAGGACCAGGGCAGGAAATACACATGATGAGCCTGAAGTATCTTCTGGTGCCAATAAGTGCTAAGACAAAACAAAACAAAACAAAAAAACCCACCACACATGGATGAGGCTCCGTCAAAGGAGCAGAAAGTCAAGTGAATGAGCTCCCAATGGCCAAAGCTGGAGCAATTGGAACAATAACAGAGTAGTATGGGGTTACTACCCAAAAGCATAAACTAAATATCCGGGAGTTCATACTAGTATATAAATAAATGACTGGATAAATCAATTCATGGGGGAGAAAAAATCTCTCATGCAAAATTCCAAATCCATTATGTAGACTGCCCTACAGACAAAGGGTAGAACTCCCCTCTCCTTAAGTGCTGGCCCTGTATGGGGAATTTGGTCCAAAATGTACAGTTTTTTAAAATATATATTTTATTGAGTTTTTACAGAGAGGAAGAGAGAGGGATAGAGAGATGGAAACACCAATGAGAGAGAAACATCAATCCGCTGCCTCCAGCACACTCCCTACTGGGGATGTGCCTGCAACCAAGGTACATGCCCTTCACCGGAATCAAAACTGGGACCCTTGAGTCCACAGACCGATGCTCTATCTACTGAGCCAAACAGGTTTCGGCAAAAACGTAGTTTTTGAAAGGGTAAGGTAGTGGCTTTACAATGGAGAAATTGGATGAACACTAACTACTTCAGTCAAGTGACCAAGGTCAATATCAACAATCTTAAATCACATCATGGGTATGGACCCTTAATATTGAGGTGATGAAATGGTACTTCACCGCTTTACCTCTGTGACCCTCCCTCACCCAAATCCACAACCCCGGTCTACCTGGGAGAAAACATCGCCCAGATTCCAGCAGAAGAGGATCCTATAGGCCTGACCGGTCCTCTCCCACACCGCAGTCACCAAAACAGGGGAGGCCACCCTTCCGTTGTGAAAGGGGACAGCAGTCCTAGGGGTGGCATTCTTAAAGTAAAGAACACCATCCCTTTGTTTTCTGGTTAGAGAAGTAATATAATTTATTCTAGAACATTTGGAAACACATAAAGGAATAAAGAAAAAAACACTTATTACTGCATGATGACCACCATCTAGTAATAACCATTACTAATATTTCAACATGTATCCTTTTAATTTCATTTCCATGTGTTTGTACACACACACACACACACATACACGGACCGTGACAACTAAATGTCATGTAATGTACTGGATGGAATCCCGGAACAAAAGGAGCAGCAGGTAAAACTGAGGAAGTGTGAAACAAGTATGACTTTAAAAAATTATAATGTATCAATATGGTTTCGTAAGTGTAACTTATGAACCATACTAATAGATGATGCTAATAATACGAGAAACTGTGTCTCAGGCATAGAGAAACTTTCTGTACTATCTCTTCAGTTTTTCTGTAAATCTAAAATTGTTTCAAAAACTAAAATCTATTAAAAAAAAAAAAAATAAAGAACCTCGAGTCACATTTTAAATCCAGTTTCTCAGACCTTCCTGTTTTTGATGACCTTGGCCCTTGAAGAGAACTGGTCAGGTATATGATAGGCTGTTCCTCTACTAGAATTTCTCTCCTGTTTTCCTCCTGATTAGGCTGGGATTGGGGAGGAGAATCACAGAGGTAAAGTACCATTTCATCACATCATATTAAGGATAATTGTAACTTGTTAGTGAACAATAGGAAACAATACAGTATATAATTAAGATCTCTTAAACTAGTGATTCATAATGTAATTGTTCCCACAGTCCAGGGAAGAGAGAAAACCAGGAGGTCCGGGATGGTGAGGGGAGGATTTATAAATAACAAAGTCTCAAGTTTGGAAGAGCACTTAGACGTCATGCATTCATTCGTGTAACAAATGTTTATTGAGCATCTACTACATGCCAGATATAAAGCCAGATGATGGGGGTCATAGTGAATCCTCTAGATTTGCATCCTTCTTCTGATATAAACCATATTTAGTAAATTATTATTCATCTTCTATTTAAACATCTTTAATGAGAGAATGCCCTATCTCACTCTATAAGTCCTTTCATTTTTTGGATATTTGTTCTTCAATTAATATTCAATAAACACTCTAGACAAAAAATATATGGCTAAATAAAGGGCATTTTATAAAAGGTTATTTATTAAAAATATTTTAAAATAGTTATAAAGTACTGTAATCTATGTTGCAAACATACACACACATTTATGAATAAAAATGTTCTTAAAGGATATACACCAAAAATTAACATTAATTAATTTAAGGATTTTTTGGGGGGAGGAGGGTGGGGAGGGTGTTATTTGTAATTTAAGGTTTTCTTCTAAACTGAATAGGTACTGTTTTTGTAATGAGAAAAAAATGTTGATTTAAGTTTTAAAACATATACTAACAATAATAGATGAGACTAGTAATGTGTAACAGGAAGGAGGGGGTAAAAGAATATGTGTCTGAGCCGAGACCGGTTTGGCTCAATGGATAGAGCATCGGCTTGGGGACTGAAGGGTCCCGGGTTCGATTCCAGTCAAGGGCATGTACCTTGGTTGCGGGCATATCCCCAGTAGGGGATGTGCAAGAGGCAGCTGATCGATGACTCTCTCTCATTGATGTTTCTAACTCTCTATCTCTCTCCCTCTCTGTACAAAATCAATAAAATATATTTAAAAAAAGAAGAAGAAGAAGAAGAAGAAGAAGAAGAAGAAGAAGAAGAAGAATATGTGTCTGAGAAACTTGGAAAGTTTCAAGTCCAACTACCACGAAAAAGTGTGCAGGAAAAGCTGGCTGTTGGCTAACAGGTGGATTTGATCTGATTGACAGAGCACAGAGGGAAGAGAGGACTGGTGGACACTGGGTAAGGGCCCATCACCACGTCTTCAGGCCCTTTACAGGGAAAGAACACTCCAAGCGCTGGCTCCGGTCTCTTCACTTGACAGACAGTGGAGATGGGAGCTGCTTGTTTGTTAATATATTTTTATTGACTTCAGAGAGGAAGGGAGAGGAAGAGAGAGACTGAAACATCAATGATGAGAATCATTGATCAGCTGCCTCCTGCATGTCCCCTACTGGGTATTGAGCCCACAACCTGGGCATGTGCCCTTGACGGGAATCAAACCCAGAACCATTAAGTCCACTGGCTGGCACTCTATCCACTGAGCCAAACTGGCTAGGACTGGGGTGGCAATGAGGCAGGAGGGCTTTGTTTTGACTGCAAAGCAGCCAAGAGTCAGGAAAAGGCCATGTGTTTGAGGTAAGACAAATCTAACTCCATTTCCACATATGTATCAAGTGGCTCCCAACCAAATGAGGTAAAATAAGACAAAATTTTATCTAATTCAGGCAATAAACTGAACCATCCACCTCTACCCTACTCAGCTCAGTAATTACAATGAGTCTCTTGTACTTAAGATTGTGATTGTGTCTCCATTCTTGGCAATAAAGTCTCTTACAACCTGGTTCCAAACTAGTCTTCTTTAATATCAACTGTCCCCCGTGTTCACCCCTGTATTCTCCCTCCTATAAGACAGCAACGTCTCATACACATTAAGCTCATCCCCATGATGTATAACTGTGGGTTATGGTACACGTTCTTAAGAACAGGTTACCTCAAAACAGAGAGAAAAACCGTTAC